AGGGCTGAAAAGGCTGCATCTTCCTTGCTAAACTAGGCAGCAGGTCTGGAACTGTTGAAAGGTTAATGAACTGGGGATGTGGGATGGGGTTGAATTACTCAAACAGGCTTGGGTCTCTGCTTGGGATAGTGAAGAGGATTCATGGTAAATGCCAGTATAGCCAATGTCTGCTGTATTTTTATAAAAAGTACTTGTGAATCCTTGTTGGATCCTTTTCCAGAAACCATATGGGGTAGTCAATATGAAATTAGTTTGCTGTTTTGAACAATTTGGAATGGAGCTACTTCTTAAATTATCAGTGGAGGATACAGTAATTGATCTCATCCCTGAGATGTCACCACAGTAAAATCCACAGAGGCATCCATACCTTTACTAACGTAGACTAAGAACCTCCCTTTTCCCTTTTTCATTCTTTGTAGGTTGGGGGATCAAGGGAAGAAGAGACACATCTGCCATGTACCTGAATGTGGGAAGACCTTCCGTAAGACTTCCCTTCTGCGGGCCCATGTACGTCTACACACAGGCGAGAGGCCTTTTGTCTGCAACTGGGTCTTTTGTGGAAAGAGATTCACACGCAGTGATGAGCTGCAACGGCATGCCCGAACGCATACAGGTCTGTCAAGTCATTTCTCTTCTTCTCCCTTCTGCTGCATCCCAGCTGTAGTTCTCCCAATATAATGCATAGAAAAAATGGTAAATACTAAATATGCAAAGGGCATTTTATCTTATCTCAGTCATCTTTACAATAAAGTTATGTTGGGGTTCATTTAATGTTGAAAGACTTGATTTCAAAACAGGAAGAAATTTAATTTATGTAAGTCAATTTATATGGCCACTTCTCCGTCAAACAGCGATTATGGGTGGTTAACAGAATTGAAAGTACAATAAAAACAACCAGTCATCATAATATACATAAAATCAAGAGCAACAATTGCATCCATCCCATGGGCCCCTTAACCTTTTGACCTCCCCATCTGGGAAAATAGCCATATTTTTAAGGGATACTAGCAGAGTTGGATCTTGGAAAGTGTGATGTTCCATGGGGCAGGTGTTGTACCAAAAATGCCTGCTTCCTGGTCTCATTCAATGACATTCTGTAATAAACAGGACCTGGAGCGTGCCCCTTCTATTATTCTAATGGGGGTGGGTAGAAATAACCAGAGACAGTCTTGCAAATATCATCCTATGCCATGAAGGGCTTTATATTCAGCACCTTGAATTGTACTTGGAAGCACACTAGAAGCTATTGCACCTTACAGAGTGCAGGTCTAACAATGGCATACCATACTTTTTAATAATTAGGACTTATTTAGTGGCGATACGGGTGGTAAAATGTGCGCATTTTTCCGCTCTCATTGCGTGCGCAGAATCTCGCCCAGCCACCCTGTTTAGGATAACCCATTCCCTCCTGAAAGGGGGGGAAACGGGGGATGCCTTACAGGGTCGAGCTGAGGAGTTTGCTCAGTTTCTGTCGGACAAAATCGCTCAGATTCGGACAGACCTGGACTCCATATGGACGGAACCAGCAGAGATGCCGAGGGAGGGTCTTGTTCAGACTTTCTGGAATGAGTTCCAGCTTGTCACTCCTGATGAAGTGGACAAGGCCATGGGAGCGATGAGTGCCTCCACCTGTTTACTGGATCCGTGCCCCTCCTGGCTCCAGAGAATTACACGAGGCTGGCNCAGCTATATTTTCCTGTGTATGCATATTGTAGTAATGCTTCTTTCATAATCTTTCCTTCTAGCTGTCTTTCCTTTTCTGTGCACTTTTTATTCTTTCCAGCCTAGTGAAATGTTGGAGATAGATAGATACATACATACATACATACATATATACATGCGCACGCACACACACGCACACACACACACACACACACACACACACATATATAATTACTAAGAATGCTGATGCTGAGCTTAGTGTACCTTCATCATACCTCCTGATAGGGCAGGATCTCCATCAGGCATTCCCGATTCTCCTGGATTGAACAGATGGTCTATCCATCCAAAATATACATCTTTTAAAAATTAAACAGGAATAAACCAATATTCATGTGATAGGAGAAATAATAAAAGAAGGATCATTTTTTTAAAAAATGAGCCCTAGCTGGCTTAGGGCTGCAGAGTGGATGTCTATACCCTTTAAGCTTGTTGGAGAGGCAGTTGGGCAGCAACTAAGAACGCTGCTGATTGCTCTGTTCTAAGTTCTTACTCTTTCTGATCATGTGACCCAGAGTAAAATATGTACAGCCTGCAAACACAGATGCAATGAAAAGGAAAAGCACAAAACTGCATTCGCAAACAGAACACTTTATTTCATTACATAAAAGAAAATATAGATGCTTTCTTCTGATAAAGGATTTGTAAACAAAATTATTAAGAACCCTTCATCAACATGCTTTCTCTAACTTATTTTGTCACCTATATTCTGTATTCCCTTCAATTTTTCACTAAGCATTATTTACATACTTCCAGTGAGATACTTCACCGACGTCTGCAATATTTTGTCACATAATTTTACTTCCTTATATCTGGTGGGCTGTAACTTTTTCTTTATGGCAGAATTGAATAAAACTTAGAGGATTATGAGAGTTCACAGTGTAACTGTAAAATATAGCAGCATGCCGTAGGCCAGGTCTCAATAAAAAGGTTTGATCTACTTTCAAGTGTTAAGGAAAGGGATTCCTTATCTATTTTACTATATTATAGTGTTTTTTTTAAAAAAAAGATCCTCCATCTTTGCAACAAAGATAGTGGACAATGTTAGAAGTCTGCTTCTTATTTACTTCATATAAATGAATGGGTTTTTTTCTTTTTGATAAAAATGATTCAAATCATTAATTCCTTGAGAGAACTAATGGACTATCTTTTAAATAATTCTGTTCTCTTGGCACCTAGGCTCCATTCAAGTTAGTGAATGCCCATCATTGTGTATGATACCGATATATGTTTTTACTGTGTATGAGTCTAATACAGTACTAATTTTTGTTTATAAAATGTTTATTATGGATATTCATTTTGAGGTATTGATTGCTGAAAATGGTAAATATTGAACTCAGAATGAATAAGAAAATAAGAATAAATGTTCATTTTTGGGAATGCTACATTTCTTCTTGTATGGGTGTGGTGTTATATACAGAATATTTTGGATCTCTCAAATTATCATATACATTTATAATTCATATTTTGAATACATGTTAGCTGGAATGTTTGCTGAACTTAAATTCAGTGGAATAGATCCTAAACTAGTCTTAGTTTTTAGTTCTTTTGCACTTAATGAGCCTATAACACTTCTCAATTAGTCTGGATCCAATTCTATTGATACTTTTTGATTTAACAATACGATGTGTTATTTTAATACAAAGTCCAAACTCTGTATTATAAAAATCAGTTTTATCATTCTTCAGCTGGCTTGTATTATATCTGGAACAAACTATTTGTGTCTCCTGCCTTTGACCCAAGCCTTTTCTTTTCCACTCCTGTAGGATTCTCAGCCATCTCCATTAGCCCTACTTGCAGCCACATGTAGCAAAATTGGTCCTCCAGCTGTAGAAGCAGCAATTACTTCTCCTGCTCCTCCTCAGCCTGCTCCTCGGAAATTGGTTCCTATTAAACCTGCTCCACTCCCATTAAGTTCTAATAAGAACAGTATCGGAATCCTACCCTCAAAAGGAAATCTCTTTCAAATCCAAGGTTCCCCATTGGGGACATCATATCCTGGTGGACAGCTAGTATTTACAATCCAGAACCCAACTGTAATCAGCAAAGGAACCCGTTCTCCTGCCAATATCCAGTATCAGACGGTACCACAAATCCAAACAGCATCAGGACAGACGATTCAAGTGCAACAAAATTTGGGCAATCAAATACAGATTATTCCCAGCAATATCACGCCTTCTTCTTCCTCCTCCTCCTCATCGTCCTCTTCTTCAGCTCATAAGCCTGTGCCAATAAAGCCAGCTCCAGCTCATAAGTCATCAGCATCCAGTCTCCACAACGCAAGTAGTGTTGTCAAGTTAACTGGTACCAGTGGCAATGTTACACTTACTCTTCCAGTGAGCAACCTTGTAACTGCTGGGGAGACTAGTTCTCAAACTCAAGTTGTGCCCGACAGCCCCTCTAAGCCAAGCAGGAAATCCCGAAAGAAAATGGTATCACAAGCTCAGACAACTGCAATGGCTATGGCAGAGCAAGTGGAAACAGTCTTAATAGAGACTACAGCTGACAACATCATCCAGGCAGGGAATAATCTGTTGATTGTGCAGAGTCCTGGATCTGGGCAGCCAGCTGTGGTCCAACAGGTGCAAGTAGTTCAGCCCAAACAAGAGCAACAGG